AGCCCTCCATCCCGCCCACCTCTTCTCTCACCTGCTCCTCCCTTCGCTGCGCCAGCAACAGCGGCCTGGGCCCAGGGAGCCTTTAGGTGAAGACGCTGATGTGTATGTTTCCCACATTCCCGCTGAAGTTCGAATTTCATTTGGATGAAACTCACATAGCAGTTGAATGTGGCATTTAGTAGAGACTAAAGCACATATGAGGCTTTTTGACTGGTCTCTGAAATTTCTATCTCCTTGCAATTAAAAAAAATCAAAGCATAGTGGGGGAGGCGGTGTGGGGGGGCAGTAGAGATAAATGGCACTGGGGGGTCCTTTGTTCTTCTCTAGAGCGCCCAGCAAGGCGAGAAGCTCATGGTAAATGGTGGTGCTGTAGGCTTACAGATCAGTGTTCCCTTAGGCAGCAGCTTGCCAGGCTGTATTCAGAGTGGCCGGTCCACTGTAGTACCTAGCGTTTACTTTTACAGGGTGGAGGTAAGGCACCCAGTCAGCTTCTTGCTAGAGCTTTGGGTGCTTGAAATCTCTCTGTGCTCACCTGGATCAAAATGTTTATCCGCACCCAATCCATCATTTTGAATACTCTGTACTTATGTTGTGTATTTTTAAAATTAGGTTTGTTTGTTTTGTTTTGTTTTTCAAATCAGTATATGCAAAAACCTCTACAAGGCTTGTTTTGAAATAGAGCAACCTTCCCTGCCCCACCCAATTCCTTCTCCTCAGAGAACACTTTGAAATGTGTCATCTGATTGTTTATCTCTACTAGCATTCTTACAGAACTACTTGTTGGTTTCTCAGTTTAACTTTTATGAAGTTATCAACTTCCTACTACAGAGGAGGAGAATTTAGCTCTTTACAGGCACACTGACTTTCACCCCGCTACACCATGTTTGTCCGTGCGTGCGCAGTATGTACCCGTCCCCAGTACAGCTGTACAGTGATTTTTGTTAGATTAATATTCACTGTTGCATTATTGTACTCCTGTGCTATTTTCACATAAGCCACATAGTGTACAATGATTCGTTTTTCCTTTTCTGCAAGGGGTATGTGATCTAACAGTGTAGATAAAATGCCAACCATTTAAAAAGTGGAGAATGCAGATGGCATATACAGATACTTACTACCATCAGTAATTATAATTACTGAAAAAAATTATTATTTTGAGATATTCTAATTGTATCATCCCCTGTACCTCTAAGAACCAGCATTTCCTGATGTGGAAGAGATACAATATATATGAGGTTAAGTAAAATCTACTAAACTAAATAAAAAATCTAGTAGTCCTGAATTTGAACTGGAAATAACAGTATGAACTGATAAGGTACTTTATTACATGTATATGTAAGTTATATACATACATATATATGTGCATAGTATGTCTCCTGCCTCTGTTCATAAAAAGACCTAGAAACAATATCCAAACCAGTAGCGAAGAGCCCTCCTACGACTCATATTGTTGTCTTGAAAAGAAACGAGGGTCTCTTGAAGAAATAACTGATCCCATCTTTGGGACAGGAAATTTACAAGATGGGAATAGACCATCTTGCGATATACCAGATAGGAAGGAAGCTATAGAAGTTTACTAGGGTCATGTCAAAAGGCTTTTGGGAATCAACCTGGAAGATTCCATTGACCCTTAAAAAGGACTCTGAGCTTCAAAAAGTGCAATGGATTAAAACCCATTAGATATGTTTAAGCCATACATTCAAACTATTTAGAAAGCGTAGTGGATCACCTTTTAAGGAACGGAAATAATTAAAAAAAAAAAAAAAACTAGGTAAATAGGACAAAATTGAGTGTTTTCCCTGCCTATCCCACATGAGCTATACCAGGGGCCTAGCCGTGTTGCCTTATGAAGTTGTTGAAGATAATAAATGAAAATAAAATGATAGAATTTCACCCGTTTGCAATTCTTTAATGAATTAATGGATCTACGCATTGCGCATCAGCCACAACTAACATCAGAAAGGAGGGACGCGCAGCCACTGTGCACCTCCTCACCGAGGAGATCGGCCCACGTCTGCGCAAGCCAGCGCCCCAGCTGATGTGTAAGAGACACGGGGTCAGAAAAGAGTACTGAATGGCACCACGAGAGAATGGTCAACACAATCCAGAACAAAAAAATCCTCCATCAACAGCCTGGGTTCCTCAACAGAAAGTGGAAGGAAAAGAAAGAAATGAGGAGGAAACCCATAGGTTGAAGGAACTGAAAGGCATTACCATTTTTTAAGAAGTGGGCAAGATGAGAGCAGAGTCTAGGGATGCATACGTGTGATAAAACCACAGAGAACACAGGGAGAGGGGTTGCTTTTGCAGAGAGGGGTGCTGTGACTGGGACAGAGCCCAAAGGGGCTTCTGAGGTGGCTGGCGTGATGGTTAATTTTATGGGTCTATCTGGCCAGGCCACAGTGCCCAGACATTTGGTCAAACACTTATCTCTGGATGTAGTTGTGAAGGTGTTTTGTGGCTATTAACATTTAAATCAGCAGACTTTGAGTAAAGCAGATTACCCTCCATCCTGTGGGTCAGCCCCACCCAATCCATCGAAAGTCTTAAGAGAATCGAGACTGGCTTCCGCTGACCAAGAAACAAGTGTACCATCCGCCAGCCTTCAGACTTGGACTTGGACTCCTCCCTGGCGCTCCAGCCTGTGATTTTGGACTTACCAAGTCCTCACAGTCATGTGAGCCAGCTCCTCGCGATGAGTCTCTCCATACGTGTATGCGCATCCTGTCGGTTCTGTTTCTCTGGAGAGTCTTGACTGGTACAGCTGGGAAAGTTCTATTTCTGGACCTGAGTGCTAGTTACCAGGGTGTTCGTCTTATAATTCACTACCAGGGGTGTCCAACTTTTTGGCATCTCTGGGCCACACTGAAAGAAGAGTTGTCTTGGGCGACATGTTATCACAAAAGTCTCATAATGTTTGAAGTGAATTTACGACTTTGTGTTGAGCCGCGTTCATAGCTGTCCTGGGCTGCGTGCGGCCCATGGGCCGTGGAAGCAGTGCACTTGTTTTATATGGTTCTTGACATTTTATAATGAAAAGGTAAAGAATAAAGGATAATTTGTGCATAGGTATGTAAATAGGTAGACGGAAGACTCTAATGATGAAAACCAAACTGCTGCTGAGGCTTCTGGGGAGGGAGTGGGGGGCCCTGCTTCTCCCTGGATATTTCTGTGCTGGGCACCTTATGTGCCAGAGCGGGTTTGTACATTTTGGATGTAATGAGGAAAAATGCAATGCTGGTCCTAGCTGTGACACACCTAGGAAGGTCACCTTTATTAGACACCTAATAGAAAATGGCTTATGAGGAGCCCATTCCTACTGCAGACCGATGGGCCATAGGAGCAAGTCAAGGCGCTGCGGCTGAGGAAACGGTGGTTTCTGTGAGAAATGAAACACAGCTGCCTTACCCTTCATGACCATGACGTTCGGGTGTCTGTATGTGTTACACAGGTAAAAGAAAAGTTTGTTTCCTCTAGGGAGAACACGTACAGAAGCAAGATCAAGAGGGTAGTTAACAATTCTAGAAAAACAGAGCTCTTAGCACCTGTATCTTGAGGCCTTTTTAAGATACATCCTTTAAAAAGTCTACTTTTAGAGTATTTGCGTTTCTTAAACATTAGCCAGCACTGGGGACTGCCAATGTTGGGCATTAGTGATAAACACAGGCAAAAACCCTTGCACTTGTTGCTTACAACCCTAGAGCACCCTAAATCTGTGGGTAAGACTTCTCTATCCTGAAGTCATTTGATTAGCCCTATGAGGACCTTTACTGAGAAAGGATGTTAGTGCTGATTAAAAAAAAAAAAAATAGGCCCATGAGACCCTAAGTATCTCCCTTGAACTTGTCAGACAACCCTATCTGCCAGCATCTCACCTTCCAGTCAAACTTCAAAGGCTTCAATCACTGCCAGGTAAGACAGGTTTCCCAATATGAAGGAAGGTCATTAGTGATGAGTTTAATATGTGATACCTTCTTTCTTTGCTTTCTCTCTAGATATGTCTAAATAGCTGGCTATACAACTTATTTTTCTTTTAAAGATTTTATTTAGAGAGGGAAAGAAACATCAATGTGATATTGTTCCATTGCCTTTCATACACACCCCAACCAGGGACCAAACCCGCAACCCAGCATGTGCCCCAACCATGAATCAGACCTGTGATCTTTTGCTTTGAGGGTCAACACACAACCAACTGAGCAAGACCAGTCAGGGCTATATGGCTTGTTTTTAAAAACAGCTTTATTGAAGTATAATTAACCAACCACATAATTTCCATTTGATGGGTTTTAGTATATTGAAGAGTTATCAGCACAATCAATTTGAGAACACTTTCATCCCCCCCAAACTCTCCATACCCACTACATGTGGGGTACAGGCAGACCCCAACACCTGCTGTTCAGGTGCGAAGAAAGTGCAGGAGAGAGGACTTTGGTGGGTGGGAGAGGAGGAAGCTGAAGAAGGTTTGAGGGAGAGGCAGCACTTCCAGATCCACCTTGGGGGACCCGGCAGATGGAGGGCAAGGCACTGCAGGGCAGGAGGGTGTGCAGGACGCAAAGGCACGGGAGGCTGAGGACCCAGGGAGGGCAGAGGAGCGGCTGCAGGGCGGCGGGGAGGGGAGCGGAGGCCAGAGGCAGAAGCCACACAGTCTGTGGCCCGAAAGTAATACATGGGTTCAGTTACAATCTTTATTTTTTTAAAACTTGCTCCCTATTGAGGAATAAAACATAAAAGCAATCAAAACATTATTTTCTAAAACGGGCTTTCCACTTGGGGCTTCGATAGCCCTTCAATAAAATCATTTTGAAGACTTAACAGGCTCCAGCTTCCAATTTCCCAGTGCAGGGAGGGATTCTTTCACTGGCTACAGAGGCCCAACCGAACTTCCTGCTCCTGAAAACAAATGGGCAAAAAAGTTTCTTCAAAAGCAAAGAGATCTTTCTCAGCACAGAGCTTCCCATAGCTGAGTCTGTAGTTTTTCAGGGCCTGCAGGAGACCTGGGAGGTAGAGAAAGGCGAGCAAAGGCCTCTGGGCAAAGCCTGGAGTGCAGCCCAGGCCGCTCCCTTGCTCCATCCCCTTGGATTTGCACACATTCCCAGGGACAGTGTTCACACTTGGAAAAGCAGCAGGAAGGAGGCTCTTCAGTAGTAACCAAGGCACACCTGGTCCATCGATGATTTTATTCTGCAAGAAACAGGAAGGGTTGGCGTACCATAACGGAGACAGACGTTACCCAACAGGGAACAGGCAGGCACTTACGACAGACCCCCATCACAATTAGCGCTGAGAATGCAGCTAGTTCCAATCCCTCCACAGTGAGCGGTGGTCGGGGAAGCCAACCGCCCCCCGGCCACACGGAGAGCAGTGCTGCCCTTTCTGCCCGCAGACAGACCCCGCGGCTGCCCCGTGCTGACTCACCTGTCAATCGGATAGGGCTCCTCGCAGAGGTTGACCAGCACATACAGGTGTCGCAGAGCGTACTCGTACTGGAAGAACACAGACAAGACACAACCAAACGTCATCATTCCACCAGACAGTCGACTTTAACTTGGGCATGTCCCACCTCTGTGGCTGCAGAGGTGCAGCATCTTGCACAGTGATTCTTGACCTCTTTGGGTCATGGATCCCTCCCCACCTTTTGATACTCCGGTCAGGTTCATGAACCATCTGCCCCCAACACACAACATGCGCTTGGGCTGGGAGGCCTCCGAGAGTCAGACCCAGGTTAGGGGTCACCCTTGTGGCTCCGCTCCCCGCTGGCACCTAGCACCTGGCCTGGTCCTCTGTCTTTTGCTTCTGGGAACCTCATTCTGGGCGTGCGCACTGATAAGGGAGACGGATGGTAAGTGAATGCCAAAATGGATCATAGCAGGTTATGACCCAAACAGCTGGGGGTGCTTTGCGCCGTGGGCCGCCGTTGGCTGACCCCTTCCCTGGAGGCACCCAAGCATCGCACAGTGCTGACCCGAGAGAAGGCGTTTTAGGGACCGCCCAAGCCTGACATCCTAGAGCCTACAAAACCATGGTGCCTCCTCGTCCTCCACAGGCCAGGGCCTGACCTCCACAGTCAGTCTCAGGGAGGAGGCAGGACAGACCCCGAAGGGAGCAGGGCAGGGTGGCGGAGGGGCGGGGCAGGGACAGCAGAAGTGTGAAGAGGAGGAGGGCTGAGTCGTCTGAGGCTGGTCAGCTCCTATCCACAGGGACAATGAAGGGGGCAAGGGCCAGGGTTTATGGTCAGTGAGTTGGGACAACCTCCTTCCTCTCATCCCTGTGAAAGGCCTCTGAATGAGCGTGTGGCTCCTTAGCCTGGGTGGAACCTCCCACAGGCGAGTGCACCCGATGGTTCCCAGTGGACAGTATTAACCGAGCTTTGGGTTGAGGAGGAGGGCGGGCCCGCCGGCTCACCGTGGAGGAGTGCCAGTTGAAGCAGTGTGTGCGGAAGTGCGTCGCGGCGTCCTTGTAGCAGCCGAGCGCCGTGAGCGGGGCTCTTGCGGACAGGAGCCTCTCCGCCTCGTCATCGGACCCCGTGACCAAGTACACGATCTTCCGCACCGACTTCTCGATGACATTCCTGCTCTGTGGAGGAACGCATCTTTTCAGAATGCACCCTACCCAAAGGAGCCTCTCTCCACGCAGCCCCCTGCCCCCGTACGTCCAAACAGCCGCCCACAGACCCGTCCTGCAGAGGGCAGACGGCGTGACGCGGGCGCCTGTGACGGCTGGAAGCCTTTTGAGGTGTCATGTCTTTCAGGGATCTCCTGGCGTGGCGGGGAGAGCGACACCCACATACCTGAAGAGCCAGCCCGCGTGGCCCACTCTGAGGAAAGGGGGGGCACAGAAACTGTGCCCCAAACTGATCGTTGCACCTTTGTCCATTCCAGAACCCATCGAATGGCCCCACAGAAAGACACAAATGAGGATACTATTTTCTTCACAGAGGAAGGAAACCAACATCATGCAGAGGAAGCTGCTGCTTCATTAACCAAAGTTTATAATCCAGGCCTCTGGCCACCCCACCCCCAAGCCTGAGAGCCACAAAGACTGTGCCCGCTGCATGTCGGACCAGCGGCCCTCACCGCGTGAGGCCCGGAACCGCGGGGGAGCCCTCGGCCTCGTGGGGCTCCGTACGAGCCCCCCTTTTCCAGCGATACAGCTGTGTGCGGCCAGGTTTTCCTCATGTCCTTCAGCCAGAAGAGCCCAGCAGAGTGAACGCAGAAGCAGGTCCAAGGACCCAGCTGTCTTCTACTGCGCTGAGCAGAAAGGGGATTCGTAAAAATGTCCAAGTGATTGTCACTCTTCTTACCCAAACTGGTTTTCAGAAAGTTATTTTTCATAAAATATACATTAACACAGAATGGGTTTATTATTGTCATTTCTAAATGAGTTAATATTTTCAAACATTAGCTCTTTGGGATGAATAATTTTAGGGTGTAAATAGGTCTAAGACTAGGAAAGTATGGGAATGGCTGTATTACACTGTGGCACCAACAAAAAATATGTCCTGATTAATAAGGCCCAATAGTATGAAAGACCAACTGTCAGGATTATTGGCTACAGGGTGTGGAAAAGTAGGTTTATGGTTGTTCCTATGCAAAGTACTACAATAATTAATAAATAACAATACAAGAGGGAACACTGTTTCAAGTACTCACAACTGTAAACCTGCTTTTACCCCACCCTATATATGAATTTAAAACAGACTTTTATCTTTCCCAGAGAACTCAGGCCACACTCAGCGCACAGCCCCGGCCATGCTGGGAGCGACAGCCAATCGACGCAGGGCGCACAGCGCCTCCCGGTGGCTCCCACTGCAGGTGCGAGAAGTCATCCTGTCAGTTCCAAACCAACCGAGGAGCTTCAGCAAACAAACTCAGAGATCATAAAGGCCAGCCCAAGCTTTTTAAGAAGAATTTTAGGCCCTGACTAGGGTTTCCTAAGGTGGTAGAAATTTTTTGAAGACTGGACTTTAAAGAAAAAACATAGGACTAGCTAATAACTCACTAACCAGCAATATAAAAATGTTCTCTAAGCAACTAGGTATAAAAGAAAACAAAAACTAAAAATGCCCATATGCATGGCCTCTCGGGAGGGTGCAGGAGACGGATGCTTTGCTACCACAGAGGTCAAGGCCAGTTTACCAATGAAGAAGACAGACAACCACTCTTCTGCTCACGGGTTTCTGCTTATGTAGAAACAAAGGCCAGTGTCCTTCCCCACAAACTCTTTGTGGCAGGAGGAGGGGGGAGCCCGGAGTTCTAGCTCCTGGCTCTGCGCAACCCTGGGTCGCGTTCTGGCGGCAGAGACAGTGCTCGCGAGGCCAGAGCGGCACCTGTCCCAAGACTGACCTCCAGGTGCCTGTGGATCGCCTCGATCAGACGCCTGGACTCCTGCAGATCATTGGTGGACATCAGCTTCCTTTTCATGATCATGAGGGGCACCTCAGGGCTTGGAGTGAGGTCAAGGTGCTGGACTGGAGGCAGCGAGACAGGAGAACTGGCTTTGTGTTTCATCCCCTGAAACTGCATCAGCTTCATGGTAGAGATCGACTGCAGGGAGGGGAGAGAGCGAGCAAACAGCCCATTGGAATGGGAAGAGCAGATGTGCCAGCCGCACCCTGGGTCCTGGAGGCTCACAGTTCGCTCCACGTGGCTTTAGGCCACAGTCTCAGCCTGAAAACAGTGCCAGCAGGGGGCAAGGCAATATGTCCAAGCACCTGAACTCCACCAGCGAGGGACTCCAGCAACGCCTGGCGTCCTCTGCGGCGGAACTGCAGAGGACGCCGCTCTTTCATACGTGAAAGGCAACCGCTCCTCCACGTCATGCAGAGGGTCGATCAGTCATTTCAGCCAGTGGCGACCCTGGGCTGTGCTCACCCTCCATGCTTACCACCTGTCCCTCGTGACAGGCAGAGCTGAAGCCACAGAGGGGTCACCTAAGACCCAAGCCTTCAGCCACCTGCTGCAACCTTGCCCAGAGAACCCTGATGAATGTGCCTATTCAACTACGTAGGTCCTTTCTGGACATGGAAGGGAAAAAAGTCTCTAATTTACAGCCAAAGCATGAAGGTAGCACCCTGCTACTTGCAGAGGGAGGCAGGACCCGGATGATCCAAGGTGTAGGGTTCTGTGGGGCCATGCTACAGACGTTGGAGCAGCTTCTGGCCTGTGTTTAGTGTTTTTGAGGCACAGCCTTCTTTCATGCCCCTTATGACCTCGTGCATGAGGGCTCTGACCACAGAGGAAACGGAGTCAGAGAGGTTGTGTAGCTTGCCCAAAGTCTGAGACTTCACGAGTTTGAAGCTAGCAAGGTCCAAATCCCAAGTGCAAACAGGGTCCCAGGATGGAGTGGCCATGAGCAGCAGAGCCATCCCGGCCCTGGACAGTTCTCACGCAGACCCAGCCACTCTTCGCCAGGGCACACACACCCTGGGCGAGCCGGCAGGGCTGGGGGGACTGAACCAGAGTGCGGGGCCCCCCTACTCACCTTGTTTCCGTACTGCATGACGTGGCTGGTGTTGGTGTGGGATTTCACCAGCTGGTACTGCTTGTGAAGAGTCTCTTTGGTCAAGTCCTCCTGCAAAAAGGGAAGCAGTCAAGTCCTTCAGCCATCAGAGCCTGCAGGCTAAGCCCCCACTGGACAGCCAGCCCCCTGAAGGGCTCACCACATCCGAGTCTTCCATCCAGTTGACGCTGTACCAGTCCCCCAGGTAGGTGGACCTCTCCTCGTCATAGTAACAGGCGTAGGATGACTCGTCTGGATTGGCAGCAGTAGTTGCGTAAACTGCAAGGAATCGAAGACACCTTTTAGCCAGGCTGTGCTGCCTGTTGTGGACTCCGCTTGCAGCTTGAGCCTTTGCTTCTTTCCTTGTGCAGTCAGAGTGCCCCCCAGAGCCAGCACAGGGAGTGGGGAGGCCCTGTGGTCCCCGGCACAGTTCATTCGGTTACAATAACGTGACTGAAATGACATGGGAAGAAAGAGAAGCCAGCGGATGGACACCGTATAGCAATAAGCAAGCGCGCATGCTTATTAGGACCTGAGGTTATTCTGGAACAATGCTGCCAGATTTTAACAGCTCTGGCAACCTGAAGAATATGTACCTAATTTAGTTTCTGGAGAAAGTTAACATTAATGAAGAAACAGATGGGCTGAACCTACGCAATAGCAACCACTTACTATCTATCTACCATGGGCTCAGAATCGTGCTTGACAAATGTTATCACCTGAAATGATAAACAAACAAATAGGTACTATCTTTATACCCATTTTACAGGTGGGAATACCTGAGGGTCGATGAAGGTAAATCACCTGTCCAAGATCAGAGCCAGCGAGCACCCTGTCACAGGACTGAGGCCAGTGCAAAGACAATGTTGATTTTGGGCCAAAGGGGCTTTACCAGAACCTGGCTGAGCGCCATGAATCGAAACTCACATGCAGATTCCTTCTGCTCTGGCCACTAATCCTCGGGGAGCAGAGGACACCCAGAGCTGTCTACCCCCGTCTCCCCACTTCCATGTACCAGGCTGCCCAAGTCCCCGCTTATGTGGGGCACTTGGTTCTTCGCGTTGGCAGAATCAGAGTGACCGATGGCACCCCTGGGCAATGGGCCCCCGCAGCCTGGCTCAGAGGCCGGCGCTCCTGCCACCTACCGTTGATGTCGTTGGGCAGGTGTCTCATCATGGACCCAGACTCACAGGCCTCGATGTAGAACACCATCTGGAGGTGGACGAGACAGGCACACTCACACCTCGGCTGGGCAGACCGCTCCCTGATGCCACTTTGGCCCCGCAGACCCTAAGGGCCTCTCACTTTCGCTTTGGGAGACAGCTCTGCTGTGCAGGGCTGCAGCCAGAGGCTACAGAAGCTCATACAAACCAGGACTCGAATTTATTCATCACTGATAAACAATCTATTAGGTGGAACAAGGGGGAGCAAATGGAGCCACAGACGACGCTCAGGAGAACCGTTTCCCCGGCAGCGCGGGGAGACGGGGCGGCAGGCCGATTTCCCGCATTACGGCCGTGTACACGCCGGAGCTACCCGGTTTCTGTAAGGGGAGCTGTGGGGCGAGCGCAGGCCGAAGCGAAGATAAGAGGGTGATATGTTCCTCCCCAACTGCCCCAAACTGGTGACAGTCCAAGGAACAGTGGTCCTCAAAGTAGGGTCCCCACACCAGCAGCGTCAGTGCCAACTCAGAGAGACGAACCCCCAGGCCTCGGGGTCGAACTCTGGAGGGGGGACTCGCACCCTGTGCTCTAATAAGATCCCCAGTGACTCTGATCTACCGGCTAAAGCCCCAGAATCAGAAAAGGTTAAACCCGGGAAGCCAGGCTGAGTGACAGGCACCCTTCCCAGAAGACACAGGCCCCGCGAGTTAGAGGGCACAGGGGGCTCTGCCTGCGCTGCCCTCCTCGTACAGCCACCCCGAACGCTGACGTTACCTTTTGGTACTTTTTGTGTTTGTACATGTAACGGATGGTCTCATTCAGGTCCTTCACATGAAGCTAAAAGGTAAGAACACTGACATTCAGATCAAGACCTCGAGAGAAACCATGTGCTGGGTAACCCACAATAAAGTCCTAATGATGCTTTCAATCAATCCCTGGAAATGTTCGGAGTGAAGAGCATTACCCTGGAATGTCATCTCAAGGGTCTCATTCATGTATTTAAAAAGGGCCGGAGCACATGCTTCCTCACCCCTTCGTCTGTCCAGAGCACTCAGAGACAGTGTCCTGTTACTGTGCCTAGTGCGGCGCTCCCAAGTCCCGAGACCGCCACTGATGCTGGGACAGGAAGAGAACTGAGGGAAGGCTGGACGGAAGAGGGGCCCTGGAGAGACTGCCTGCTGCTAAATGCGTCCCCATGCACCATCCTGACAAGGACACAGGGTTAACGCCCCCACCAAGGTTTTGTCTCCCAGTCTAGCTTTAAAGTGAAACGTTAAGGAACACTCACGTCATCGTTGGGAAAAGCCAGTATTCCCGGAGCTCCGTGGTCCGTGAAGTAAACGAACACGTGATCCCGGGGGCCACTGCCAGGGAGAAGGCGGACGCGAGTCAGAGTCGGCCGTTTCCTGTTTCTGTTTCTATTTCTATGTCTCTGAAAAGTTGCCCTTACCCAAAAACCAAGAAATTTGAGGATTCCAGGCTCCCACCCAGGAATAAAATGGACTCTGAGCCACAAGGCACGTCCCAGAGATGGCCCGCACAGATGTCCGCCTCTGCTCCGCCTCACACGAGCTGACCTGTCTCCAGGTCTCCCCTTGGCGTGGGAGCAACAGCCCCATTCGCCAAGGACCTGACACTCCCTGAAGGCCTGCTATTCAGGACCCTGATGTCATATAAAAATGCCACAGAAAAGACTCTAAGCAAGAAGCCCTCTCTGGCCTGCAGCCGGCGGGTCACACACTGGTGCAGGTCCCCCCGCCCCGCTCCTTCCCGCTGCGGGGGCGGCGGTCAGAGTGCAGGGGTCGCGCAGGCCAAGCCCTGCGACCTGACTGGCTGTGGGGCTTCGCCGCTGGCAGGAAGTGCAGCGGGCCAGCACCAGGGTCCCCGGGAGACAAAAGGCGGCATGTATCCATGGTGGGGACAGTTCATTAGGAATAAGGAGGGATCCTGGATCCTAGGGTTAATGTGGTAGATGGATGGGCTCTGCCAAAAGAAGCCACCCGCCCAGTGCGGCCCTTCTCGGGCCAGGACCAAGCCCAGCTCTGCCGCTTCTCCCGGGAAACAAGCCTGGGGCCAAGGACAGCTCCGCTCTGGCTGCCAGCTCACTCAGGGAAGCGGGACGGTGTGCAGCGAGCGGACATTACCTCTTCAAGACCTTTCCGGATCCTCTGCCCTTCACTGCTTCCGCATCACCTCTCAACACAGCAAGGAAATTCTGCGGTGTGACGTCCTGCAAAGAATCGGGAGTCAAAATCAGACGGGCATTCCCAGTCAGAGCGCCGGCAGCGCCTGCGGCAGGCCCGGGCCAGGACGTGCCCACACAGCTCCGAGGCCCGAGGCTGAAGGGCGAAACCTTTGGAACCAAGAGGGACCCAAGACAAGGCCGATGTGTCTGGGGCACGTGCCCCACCTCTTGTCAAATAGCATCTTGTCCGTGATGGCACTCGGCGAGCCTGCCATTCCTTCTTGACCATAAGGAAGTCCACATGGAGAAACCTGAAGATGCTGGAATCAGGACAAGCGGCAGAGGAAAAGCATACACCCTCCGGGAGACAGCGAAGAGGCAGCAGGAACGTCGGCGCTGGGCCTGTCCCCCCCAATCCAGCTGGCTACCTAAAAGGCTGACTCTCGAGAACATTCGCTGTCCTTAAAGGCAATTTCCTAAGTTGATCCCCGCTCAGTAAAAAACATAGCAATACAGAAAAGAACAAAAGAAAATAAAGTCACCAGGAATTGTACCACTTAGATTCCAGACACTGCCTTATACAGGGTGGGGCAAAAGTAGGTTATACAAGCAACTGTAAGGATACTTTTGCCCCACTCTATATAACTATAGAAATAATTTCATAAAAATGGGATCATCTATATTACATGTATGATGTACTCAATTTAACTGTGCTTGAATTTAAAAGAGAAAACTGAAACTGAAAGAACTGCTAAGCTTCAGAGAAACGTTTATCACCAGGAATATTAGTTCCTAATAGATCCCTCTGATATTAAGAAAAATAAACTATGAAACTACAAGACTGAAGTCATCATAGTTTTTTTTTTAACAAAGTGTCAATTTATAGAGCCTTAGTGGGCTCTATAAAGATAAAATAATTCAAAAAGATTTAATAATTCAGAAGTGATATAATGATGATGAACAAAAACACCCTCTCTTGGCAAAATCCGAAGATGCTCTGCACAGGGCGGTTCTGAGAGGATGGGTTTTCAGAACACAGCACAGATGAGCTGCCACCAGATGAAGGGCAATGCCCCCAGAGAGCCAGGTGCGGCCAGAGCACGTGTGTTCTCAGGCTGAACCTCTAAGACTGGAAACCACAGCCTGGTAGACTACAGCTTATTTCTCACTTTTTTCCCCTCTGCTTTCTATCAAAACTCTCAAAAATTACTCCCCAAGCACAAATCCTAACACAAACATGAAACACTGACCAGAAAGCAGTCTAGTGGGGTTTTGATGCTAGAAATATCCAAAACATGGAAAAATCATCACCAAAAAGAGCAAAGCCCGGGGCGCGGGCCCCGCCCGCTGCCTCACCTCCCCGGTGTAGTCCTTCAGGACCCCCTCGTACACGTCCGTGCCGTTGGGCCGGTTGATCACGACTCCGGGCGTGGGGTTGCTGAAAAATCAAAGGACACAACTGAAGCCCCACATCTGACATGTGTCTGAAACCTGTCTCTTCCAGCTACGGCCCCGTTATGCACAAGGACAGTAATCGACCGTGTTTGTCAAAGTGCTGCTCCTCCCCCACACAGTCAGTCGCCAAGTGTCCGGGGTCTCAGCAGCCTGGGGATCTCAGTCATCCCACAAGTCAGGTTCTTGGCAGGAGGAGCGAGACCGAGTTCTAACACTCAGGACAGGGACCAAAGCCCAGGTGAGCCCAGTCTCCTGCTGGAAACCACCCGGCTTCCTGGGGGCCAGATCTCACAGAGACCTGTCCGAGCAAAACCACTTGTAGAAAAAGACAGGACGGACGGCAAGACTGTAATATAAGAGTTTAGGCGTTGAAGCTCTGAATAGGTAATGAGCTGTCCCATGACCTCAGCAAAGGGCAGGAGCCTTCATGGGGGCCACGCATGGCAGGGTGACCCAGGAGCTGGGGAGGCACGCACGGGGCAAGGTTCGTACCCACACTTGCCGTTCCAGATCTCCAGAAATCAGGTAAACAGGCATGAGAAAACTATTTGTAAGATCAGACCCAACAAATAACAAAAGTAAACAGGTATGAAAAGAGTGGCGGGATCCAACCTCCAAACGAGCCTTCGACGTGCAGGCTGCAGAGGGGTCCCCCCCCATGCTGCCCACCTGCTTGGAGGTGCGCAACACACACTGCAGAACCCAACAACGAGTTCTCCAGGCTGCGACGGGACTTCTGGCACTTTCAGTGCTTCCAAAGCACCAAACCCACACCCTCTTCAGCGCCCACTGCCCGTGTCCGCCAGGGCGCCCCCGAGTTACACCCGAAGTGCTACATGAAGCAGCCCTGTGAAATTTCACCTGCAAGTCTGCTTGTACCCTAATGTTAGGCCACTGATCTAAGGGTTCCATGAGTCCTTACAGATTTTTTTAAAAATGCCCTGAAGTTCTTTGCCACGAGAGAAAGCACCCCGTACTTACTCTTCGGCGTTGGCAATGTCATCGTACATCATCACAACGATCTGCTCGTCAGGAATCCCATTGCGGTGGACAATCTGGTAGGCGTGGCACGCATCAGCCTGGGGGAAATGAGTTCCGGGAGTGTCAGATTTCGCCTGGAAGGAGGCCAGTCCCCGAGTTCTAATGAGCACCACGTCCTTTCTCACAGAAGGCATGCTGGGAACCACTCCCTTTTGGTCAGGTCTTTGAATCATTTTACAACATATACATTTATATTTTTGCACTAATTTTTAAAAAATCTCCCCCTACCCATTACCCAACCTCTTATTCTTCAGGCACTTAATGTATATGTGGACTACACCCCCCCCCCCCACCCCCACCACATCTACAGGTAACAAGGGCCTTTGAGAGAAAATCAGTATTTTGTCAAACCTGCGCTTATGATGACAGGGGCAGGGAGCAGACACAGCCACCAACTCATCCTATTATTTATTACTGTCAGAAAGCAGGTTCATTCAAAAACAAAAACAAAAACTTAGGAATAAGTCTAACAAAAGAAATGCAAGACTTCCACACTGAAGATTATAAAATACTGCTGAAAGAAATGAAAGAAGACCTAGCTAAACAGAGAGACAGCTCAGAGAGACATCAGAGATCAGAGACTTGAGACTATTAAAATTTTTTTAAACGCTCAGCAGGCTTCTGCAGAAATTGACAGGATGATCCTAAAACTTATATAAAATTGCAAAAGACCTAGACTGGACAAATTTTGTAAAAAAGGAACAAAGTTGGAGGACTTTCGCTTTCTGATTTCAAAATCATTCTGGGGAAAAGAGTCTTTCAATAAATGGTGCTGGGACAATTTGGATATCCACATGCAAAAAAGATGAACTTAGGCCCTCATTTCACTCAAAAGTTAATCCAGAATGGATCGCAGACGTAGATGTAAGGGCTAAAACAAAACTTCTGGGAGATAACGGAAAATCTTTGGAACCTGTAGTTATAACTGCAAAGAAGTTACAGATATGGCACCAAAAGCATGGTCTATAAAAGAAAAAAGATGAGAAATTGAACATCATCAAAATTTAAAATTTTAGTACTTCAAAAGACACCACTAAGAAAATGAAATGACAAGCAAGAGAGTATGAGAATATTTACAAAACATTATCTAAGAGGACTTGTATCCAGAATATGCAAAGAACTCTTGTACCTCAATAAGATAACCCTGGCAGGAAGATAGAAGCTTTGAGTGAAGATCACTTAGGAAGGTAGACGACCCATGCACAGCCAGGCCCAGCGGAGGCAGCCACCAACAGCAAACTGCACGGCAGTTCCAGACAGACAGGCCAAGGCCAGGTACGGGTGGTGTCTGACATTGATCTGCAATGGAACCCGCCCAAGGGGACCCCGTGGTGGGCTTCAGACCACATCAGAGCTCAGGCCAACTAACCACATGAGCGGCACACCCAAAGGGGGATCCTGGCAGGGAGCAAACCCCGCTGGAGGATGGAGGGTGGAGTGTTTACTGGCACTCAAAAGAAATAAAAGTAGGGTTAACCCAAGTCAAATAATTCGGAAGTGGTGTTGAAGGCTACTTGACTCACTTTCCTGGAACATATCTGATCTATCTGAATTTTTCCTCTTAAAAACAGAAGGGCCAAGTGAGGTAACATCTGAGAGGAGGGCATTGAGCAAGGCTTTGCCCTCAGGACTACTGAACAGAGACTGGAGAGGCTGGGCATGTTTCCGGGCCTGCGTTAGTTCTGACGGGCTTACTAATGCTTCCCGTGATTTCCTGCAGCAGGCCAGTGCTCCTGCTGCCTCAGGCCGGCCGTCCGCTTCATCCCCTGGGCATGCTCTGGTCTCACGCACTGTGAAGGAGGGGTCAGTCCCCTTTCGAGCCAGGAAGGAGCTGAGAAGGGGCTCTTGTGGTCCACTCATCCAGCAGGTGTCTGGGGAACGGCACTTCCTGCCACATGCTGAGTGCCGGCAGGCGAGGCCCAGGTCAGGCTTTGTCGGGGGACCAGGTGAGTGGAGAGCAGGAATGCCACCTGAGGTCTGCAGGCCCAAAGCCCACATTCTTTCACGGTCCTGTGCCGCCTCTGGCCTGTACAAGGACAGCCCTCCTGTACCAACTGCACTCCCCTAACTCAGTCTTGCTCTGCCCCCTATCCTCATCTCTCCCACTGGGACCTCTCTTTAAAAGTGCCTTTCGTTTTTTAAATATAGTAGTGATACTTTGCAACCACATGGATTAACTTCAAAAACATATGCTAAGTCAGCGATTTTCAGCCAGTGTGCTTCGGGAGTTTTTAAAATATGCAATACCTGACTATTTAGTCGGGGACACCAACCTCTTTTCCTTTAGATTGTCAAATAAAAAAATAACAACAGCCGACACAACAATAGCAGTTCAGTGTGAATGAGTCAAAATTATATCAATTTTTTTTTCAGATGAGCAGAAACTATCTATTTTTGGTGCACCACAGAATTTTAGTGATTAGTTTATGTGTGCCATGAGATGAAAAAGGCTGAAAATTGCTGTGCTAAGTGAAAGAAGCCAGACACTAAAGACCACATATTGTCTGATTTCATTCATAGGCAGTTTCCAGAGAAAGCAACACGAGACAGAGAGCAGACCCATGGTTACAAGGGGCCCGGGAGAAACCGATTGCAAATGGGCACAAGGGAACTTTGCAGAATGATGTCCTAGAACCGGACTGTGGTAATGCCTGCATCACTGTACGAATTTACTAAAAATCACTCAACTATCCATTATCATAAGTGAACTGTATGACATGTACACTTAGGCCTCAGTGAAGCTGTTTTTTTAAAAAGTGGTAATGGCACACATTTTTAAAATACACAGAATGAAAGGTGGTCTTTTAAGAACAGGATGACGCTGCCACTTAACCATCCACCAGCACGTCTCTTCCTTTCTCTTCCCACACATACAAGTACAAGTTCAAGACCTCTCCCTCCCTTTCTGCCTCAGCTGAAACCTACCGGCCTGCCACTTCGGGCCCCAGGACACACATGCTCCCCATAGCCTTCCTGGAGGAGGCGGCGGGCCCCTTTCTCTCCAGTACAACCACCAACTCCGGACCGCAGAGCGGGGTGGGGTCAGCGTTCTCGCGGCTGCTCTGCCCTCCTGCCAATACACCACCATCAACTGTCTCCGTCCGAGCCCCACTGCCCAGCAATGACGTCAAACCTCTCCGCCAACCCCCTTTCTCCTGGCTAACGCCTGGCTCCCACCTGCCTCCCCTCCAAACTCGAGAGCCTCAAAATCCTCCTGATGACAATGAACTTCACCCGCAACCTGCTTCAACACCCACCCCCGCTGCCCTACCCAGGCCTTAGCTATTCCCTCTCTATGTGGGCAAACCTCTCTGTCCTGAAAGAACCCCATCCCCTGCCCCATTCCTCCCCTGGTGACCTCTTTCCCTTCATGAGCTTGCCGGGGGACAGACCGGACAGCTGTCACCACGCACTGCCTGCTCTCCGGGACCTCTCCCTCTCCCCCCCACTCCCCGTGGCCTGGCTGCCACCCTCACCGTTGCTAGAATCTCCGTCCCCAGGCCTTGCCCTCCCCACTCAGAATGTCCCACCAGCACCGCCTCAGACCACACGGCTTTCTGTCATCCACAAATCCCGGCCAAAACTGAGAAACTGAGAAATCCAATGCAGCCGAGACCAAACACGGTTTAAACAACCACCACAAGGCAACAGAGAAGCGCTGATTTAATTGGGCCTGGTGCACTAACCACCCCCTCACGAAAGAAATTTGTGATGACGAGTGCTGCATTAACCCGAGGGAAATGGAAGTTTCTGGAAAAACGTTAGTTTAAAAGTCTGTATAGGTTCCACAGGGAAAGTTCTCTCAAATGCTTTTAGCGATTGGCCTCCAGAGTCAAGAAAGCAAATGTCAGCAGCTGGCTGCAAACAGAACCAGGCCAGCAGGGATCTGCGTGGAGGCAGCGATGATTCAGCACAAGAGCTTCCCCTCTGCCCCGCCCCACGGCCAGACATCCTCTCCTTCACAGAGGCGCTCAGCCTGGGGCTGCTGCTTCTGCCTGCCCCCCTTCCTTCTGTTTCCAAGCTAGTTTACCCGGGGAAACTAGCAACACTTAAGAGGGGAAAAGAGAATTTTCTGGGGGCAAAGGGTAATTGGATACCTATATTTAATGACATTTGACCAGTGTTTTTTATAGTTGGTTGTATAAAAACCAGGGTGGCTGCTGATCAGCCTGCAGATGCTCAGTGAGCTGTATCAAGTGTATCAAGTCTTTCTCGTGGGTGGCCAGAGGGGGAGGGGAGGCCTGCCAGCAAGCGGGTGCTGCTCAGGTTGCTCCTCTGGAAGTGGGTCAGGCCTGCTGTTAAGCCTTACAAGGAAAAGGGGTCATTTTGCTGTGGCAACAAGTTTTTAATCAAGCCAAGTTTCCTATTCAGCTGACATACAAAAACCACTGAAGAAATAAGTCACTCAATAATCATCCATTTTAGAGCTCGTGGGGGTTTATCTAAACAACCCCTACCTAACAGATAGGAAAACCGACACCCTGGGAGGGAAGCCCACAGGTGACACTGGACAGCCACCAGGACACAGGACAGGCCTGCGCTGTCCGGAACAACAGCCACCGGCCACACATGGCGATGAGCATTGTAAAGGTGGCCAGTCTGAACTGAATGCGCCGTGAATGTAAACACACACTGGACTTCAATGACTTAGTACAAAATAAAAAACGTGTAGTGTCTTATTATCAACTTTTTATACGGATTACAAGTGAAATGATAATGGTTGGATATAGTGAACTAAATAAGATAAATTTCACTTTGTTTTTACTTTTGAAGAATGTAGCTACTAGAAAATCTACCGTGACACACATGGCGTCCTGCTGGGCAGCGCCGCTCCAGAGCTCAGCGGCCCGGGCTGGACCCCAGGCTCGGCCACCTGCCAGCGGACCCACGCGGGCCAAAGTGCCGACCCTTTCTAGGCCTCAGTCCGCTCACTCGTAAAGGGGAATAAGGACTGGAACTATTGCCTATAACCCACTACAGGGATTGAATGAGTTAGCTGGGTAAAAGGCTCTTAGAAGATAGTCCAGCACATACTGTGATAGTCTATACATCCTGTTTCTGAGGATTAAAAGATGAAATGACTTTTTAAATTACAGAGTTATTGGGCAATAACTCATATACCATAAATGTCAGCTTTTTAAAATATACAACCCTGTGGTTTCTCGTATACTCACGAAGTACACAGCCCTTACCCCTAATTCCAGAATATTTTCATCATCCCAAAAAGAGACCCCATAGCCATTCTCCCTCCACCCAGACCTTGGCAACTGCTAACCAGCATTCTGTCTCTATAGATTTCCCTCTTCTGGGCATTTCATATGGCCTGTACATGGAGTCCTACAGTATGTGGTCTTTTGCAACTGGCTTTTTTTATTTAGCACAGTATCTTTAAGGTTCATACATGTTGAGATATCAGTACTTCCTTTTTTTCTTTTTAGACTAATAATATCGCCTTGGATGGATGCACTACATTTCATTTATCATCAGATGATGGACACTTGGACTGTTCCCACTTTTTGGCTGTAACAAATAGCACTGCTATGATCACTCAAGTACCAGTTTTTGTGAGAAGATGTGTTCCCTTTCCTGGGTGTATACTAGCAGCGGAATCGCTGGGCCACATGGTAACCCTGTTTAACCTTTTGAGGAGCTGCTGGACTGCGCCCCAAAGTGGCTGCACTTTTAATGTATTTACTGATGTGGACTCTCCTTTAATTTATTCTGGGCTGGCTTGGGGGAAATGCCAGGGAAGCTGGGGAGCAGGCTGTGAAGGGAGGGCAGCCAGGCAGAGGCATGGAGGGTGAAGAGGCTTCGAGGGCTTTGACCAGGGCCCGTGTCTTCAGTTGCGGCTGCACCTCAACTTGTGTGTGGCCTCGGGCAAGCCACTTCCTCTCCTTCAGTCTCAGTTTCCTCATCTACACAAGGAAGGTGTGGACAAGTGAGTCTCAACTAGGGATATTTGATAAAAGCCGGAGATACTATTGGTTGCAAAAGTGGGATAGGTGGTGAGTGGGTTGATGCTCCCGGTATCTAGCAAGTAGAGGTCTGGGATGCTGCTCGGCATCCTAAAATGTGTGGGACAGCCCCCAAAGAACAACCTGGCCCGACACGTGACCGTTCCAAGGTCGAAAACCTTGGGTGAGGCTAATGTGAGTCTGACGGACCATTTTGAGGAACCGCCAAACTGCTTTCCAAAATAAAAGTACCGTTTTATAATCCCCCCAGCAACACGAGGGTTCCCATTTCTCCACAATCTTGCCAACACACACACTTTCACCAGCCTGAACGGAGAGTAAATGGCTCTTCAAAAGTTCTGGTCTATGAATGACGTCCAGGATTGTTTACAGAATGCCAGGGCCATAAAAAAGACATTAGTCATTTTCTTACCTGGTGCCTATAATTAAACCAGCCATTTGAGCCTGCGACAATGACCACCCAGTGTTTGCCTCCGTCCTCAGGATCGTCCACGGGCACAGCAGCAGTTCCCAGCGTCAAGCTGAGCAACAAGGCTGCTTCCCAAATCATTGTGTGCATTCCACGCAGACACCTGGGAAGGAAAAGGCGGAGTTGAGCAAAAAAGGAACAGTAAGAACAGACTATTATTGGGCCCTAAGAAAGTATCACAGTAAACGGGTCAAATGGTAAGACCATTTAGCCATCAGACAGGACATGCTGAGGATAAAAATTCTGTCAGACCAGGCAGAATTTTATTTTTAGCTCTGCTGCCCCTTCGCCCAGGTGGAGAAGGGGACTGCCCTTCCCACCCACCCTTCAATTCAAATTAAGGTTCTGAGTAAATACCAAAGGATATCCAGGAAGCTCTTTGAGCATCCTTTAAAGATTTTGTCACAACTTGGTATGCAGCAGATAAAATTCATCAATAAAATTCACTGCATTAGAAAAATGTCTATCTGGCCAGGTAGCTCAGTTGGTTAGAGCGTCATCGTGGTATGTCAAGGCTGCGCGTTCAATCCCAGGTCAGGGCACATACAAGAATCAACTAATGAATGCATAAATAAGTGGAACAACAAGTTGCTGTTTCTCCCTTCCTCCCTCCTTTCCTCTCTCTGAAATCAATTTTAAAAAAATGTCTACCACATACTATGAACTTTTTACAAGAAAGAAAAAACATGTAATATATGCAGAGAAAAATGTGGAAGGCAGACATAAAAATGTAACAGTAGTTGTTACTGGGGAGTAGGTGGAATTAAAGATGATCTTCTTTTTCATATGTCTTTTTTTACTACAATTAATATATATTACTTATATAATAAAGTGTGTCAAGATTCAATACATGCTTGTTATAAACACTGAATGACAATTTATTAATTAGTGAGCAAGCTAAGTGGATAAGCAAGAGTTAAACACTGGCTGCCCAAATTAGTATCTTTGTATAACACTTAAACGTACTTACATGTATCCTGTACAGAAGGCAGGGCAATATTTTGACGCTTGTTTTACAGAAACTTGCCAAATCCCTGGAGACTCTGCTCTGGCCAGAGACCAGCCATGCCTTCTGAATTCCTGGTCTGTCCTTCCTGCTACATGATTCTGCATTTCAATGCTATTCTTAGTGAAGCACACGCCCAATTTTATACTCCACTGTCAAAACTTGAAATGATGTTTTAAAGCACCAAAGGCAAGACTAAGGCTGAGTCTCGGCCACCATTCATTACTCACATCAGACCCTGTCCTGTGACCTGAAGATGCACTTCTAAAAAAAAACAAGCCTTCTTGTGAGAGAAGCCCTGCCTGCCAGTCTGAGATAAGAGGGAAAACAGTCTTTGAGATGTAGGGGCTCAGAACAGAAGAGTCTGTGAGGTCAAGCAAGAGACAGCCAAGGAGCAAAAGCACCCCTGTCCCCAGAGAGGGGGCAGTAGCCCCCACCGGGATGTGTAACGGTGACTACTGAGGTGACCCACCCAGCAGCTCTTCCATTTTGAGCTTATCCTTAGTTGCTGGCCACAACTACGCCTCCCTGAGAAGCCTCCCCCAGGCTAGGAACTGGCAAACTTTTTCTATAAAAGGCTGGACAGTCGGTATTTCCAGCTCTGCAGGTCATGCCGTCACTTGTCACGGCTATTCAACTCTCCCACTGTATCACAACAGCAGCCAGACAGCGTGTGCGCCCATGGACATGGCAATGGTGCAACAAAGCGAGCGGGCTCTCGTTCCGCCCTAGGGAGCGAGCAAGTGCCCTCTGCCACGCGGCAGGTACAGCCAGGCTGGGTTTATCATCTGTCCTGGACAATCATTAAATGGGCTCCCAGGTTTGCACAGCAGTCTCTTCTGTGCTTGGTCCATGTGACTTAATCCCAAAGAGCTTCATTCCTCTGGAGGCATACCTCGTCCCTTCATATTTAGGGACAAAAAGAATAAATAAAATACTAGGCTCAAGTGGTTGGCCTATGAACAATAGAACGACCACTAGCAGCTTAACAGCCTCAATCAGCAAACAACACAGCAGCTACTAAAAAGGCACCGCCGGGTTAATTTTAGAAATTCAAGTGTATCTTTCACTCTTCTACTAAAATGCTAGCAAGTTACTCCTCTGTGAGGGAAGTGCCTTATAAATATAAGTGCCTTACAAAAATATAGTGATATTTTTATAGTTAACATTTGGTGATGGTTCTCTTCTATCATTTTGTTTTTTCTTATAAACAGTGCGGTTCCCTGAACATAATGGGAAGCTAAAACCTCACAGTATGACACTAGCAAGTGCCACTTAAAAAATACGGGTACTATTTTGAAAGACCCATGGGGACCTGGGGTAAAGAGGTACGAAAGTAGTATAATCATTCCATTACCCTCAACAATGAACCCGTCTCAAAGCAGCCAACCTCAGACGGGAATTCCCTCCTGATCAGTAACATTCTTGACAAAGTCATAAGTAATCTTGCAGCACGCCTATTATTCTCCTTTTAGCGAAGTGAGAAGTTCATGAAGAAAAAGACACGATCCCTGCTGAATTAGCCCTCTGGGACCGCTGTTTTTCAGTCCACCCATCCACCATCCAACAGACAGGGCCTGAGCACCCACCAGGAGCCTACAGGCGCCAAAGAGGGGGCCAGATGAACAAAACCCTTCACGGAGCTGACATTCGAGTGGGAAGAGATAGACAAGGGAAACATACAGCTTGCCAGGCTGAGCTGGGGGCAAACGTAAGGCTCCTCGTAGGAGTGCAAGGTATCGTTTTCAAAACGGGACGGTTTCAAGGAGGTAAAGGAGCCCACCCCTTTGTAAAAGCAAAACACTGGAAGCAACATTAATGAGCATGGGAAATCGTTATAGTACGTGCTTACAAAGGTGTACCGTGGAGCCTTCAAAAGCAAACAGTAAGGCAGATCTCAATGCACCAGGGCACACCTTTGGAGGATACCTGTTTAGTCTTGCTAAACGTTTGCGGGGGGGGGCGGAGGGGGGCGGAATGACAGACAGTTGACTCTCTAACCAGAGAAGGGGAGCAAGTCTCCCCAAGCACCGGGTGGGAGAGTGGGATACCTGGAGCCACCTGCCAGGAGCTGCGCAGCGTGTGAGCCGCGCCGCACCCGCCTCACCGCAGCCGCGCTGCTCTCCTCACTCCTTCAGACATTTGAGAAAACTAAGGCTCAGAGGCAGAGACGCTTACTGGAACGCGGCACTGCTGGTAAGTGACACAGGTCTGACTCCAAAGACTGCTTTGTTCCACTGCATCATCTCGTTTGTCATAAAAGAGTTGTTTATGTGAACGTCTGGGAGGCCCTGTAACCACAGATGGGGACACTACACCCCACACGTGGGGCCCAATCACAGAGCAGGCCCTGCGCTTCCTCCAGCAGGACACCCACGTTCCTCTTTGCCACCCTACTAGGCTAAGGCACTCTTGTGCAATGAAAGAGAAGCTGATCCCCAGTCAAGGTCAATGGAGAAGCCTTTATGAAAGAATTTCACCAGCATCCAATGACGAATCCTCTGCTGATTCCACTTGGTCCTGTGACCCTCTCAGGATGCCAGGCAACACTAGGTCAGTGATTCCACTCAAGAGTTCTGCTTACCTAAAGGAGTGTACCATCGAATGAGGTTAATCCATTTGGGAGGTTTGGGGCAGAGTGTCCATTCGAAGTAAATTATCACCAACAATGTAAGAAATAAGGCCACAGTCACATGATCATCTCTATAGCAGAGTCAAACCCAGGTCTGACACCAATGCCCACACCTTAACCACCACGGGCTGTAACCTCACTGCCAGATTTGATTTGCTACCGGCTCTGGGTTAGAAACAGCGAACCATCAAAGCCAAGTTAGGCAAGGACGTCTGAAAAGAGCCTTCTAAAGCTGAAGGTCTTTGATCCAACTCTCTGCTCTCCAGCAGGTGACAACAGAATCATCATCCAAGTGGCGCCTGGTTGACAACATGCGAGAGAAGCAAGGACACGTGACAAGGACCTCCTCCTCGACCCAACCTGAGTCAAGCTCCTCTGAGCCCTCTTACGGAGGTAAGCTTTGGCCTGCCGTGCCCAGTTTCAGCAAGAATCCCCTACCTCTGATATTCAGTCAATCTCCGCTTAGTCATCTCCCAACCTCTGACCCTCTTACCCTGCCCCCAAGTCCCAGGCGTCCTTGCTGTATTCAGAGTTAAGCTCCATTCTATACCAGTCTCTCCCCGCTACTGAAATAGCTGACACAGTAAAAACCCCTCTTGCTATTTGTAACCAGTGTCTAGTGCAGTTTCCCTTTCACTCGGGATGCACGGCTACCAACTCGGGAAGACACGACAGCCTCTCTGGGCCACAGCTGCCCATCTGTGAAATGAGAAGGCAGGGCTGAGTTATTGAGAGAATATTCCGTTCCCAAGTCCTTTGATTTCCTGTTTAAAAAGCAGGATTAAAATCCAACCAGATCTTATCTCAGTCCTCAAAGGAAGAACGTATTTTGTTCAGGAATAATCTATTTTTTTCCTATAGGAAAAATTCCTGATTCATTGGCAAATTAGATCCGAGATTAGAGGCTGTCCTTTCAGGGCATCTAATATCTAAAAATTCTATGGGAATTTTTTTACAGTTCTGTAAACTATGGATAAAAACAATGCAAATAATTCTTGTCTAAAAACATTCAAATATGTCTGTACTTTGGAGTCTCCTGTGAACTGGTTGTAACACCTCACTAAGTTTCTTCATTAATTAATTCATTAATGAGTTAAATATATAATCTAGAGCACTAGTTCATTTTTATACCTGTATAGAGTGATGACTTTACCTTTTTTTCTCCTGACATCCTTTAGTTCCTCTATATCCATACTTCTTTAAACAAGAGTCCATCCTGTGGTAGGCAGAATGACACCCCACTCCAAAGATGTCCACCCGAAATCCCCCTATTAATAAATATGCTACTTTACATGGCAATAGGGACTCATCGGATGTCGACTTCACCTTTTATTTAAAAAAATGTTTTAACATTACAAAAGGTATAACCAACTAATCATATTTCAAAATAGACAGTCAAAAATTCATTTTTAAATCTAATGGTTAGAAGAATTCAGAAATATAGCAAAGTAAAATTGGCCAGTGGTTAATGGTTTTTCCATATCTTTATTTTCTCTGCTTATCTCGCACTTGAATTTCTTTACCCAAATGACTATTTTGAAGTCTGGTATCAATGTAGTTTGTAGTCTTCTCCCCAAATAACTTTTATAGCTAGGTGTTAGTTAAGTTACATTTTATTCCAATTTATGTTTCAAGAAATTAAAGGGTAGATAACAAACTACAGAATGTACAAAATGTAACACAAAGCACCTGTTATTTATCACTCAGGTCATCAACTATTAATATGTTTTAAGTCTGTTGTCTCCCCATAAAACAAAACATAACAGATGAAATTTTCCCCCATTTCCTCTCCCATTCTCCCCACACCACAAGGTAACCACTTAGGTAAGTTAGCATTTCCTCTCAATCAATTTACATTTAAAAAACATCCACTTCATATATAGTCCTCTACTAATGGCCATTTAGGTTGTTTCAGTCTTTTTATCATTATAAACTATGTTGCAATAAACATCCTAATATTCCTCTCCTTGTATACAAATGTCTGTCCAGGATACTTTCTAGAAGTGGAACCACTGCGTCTTAAGAAATACCCATTATGCTGCCTGCTAGTGTTCTTAGGTACACTTCCGCTAGAAGTGAATCCTTTCCTCAAATACCTATCATCTCTTGATAATATCAAATTTATCATTTTTTTTAAATTTGAAATCGTTTTTATTCTGCATTAACTGCTAACAGGCATCTTGTGCTCTGTCCCTTCCAGGGGCTGCACTGCAAACACAGCACAGAACGACCTCCCCACCTTCACAAAGGCGGGCTTTTCACACTGCACAGAGCTGGTGCAGCCTGGGGAATGGGGCGGGTCCACGGGTCAGCCTTCGTCTGGGTCGTGGGGGCCCAGGTACTCGCAGACAGCGTCATAGTGAAGCTCCATGAGCTGATTCTCTCTCTGGAGGTGAACCACAGCCTGGCTCTGCTCTCTGTCCCAGCCCAGCAGACGGCCCACGCTTCCAGCCTGTGGCCCCAGCACCACCATCACCCGGGTGCCCTGGACCTTGGGGACGAGTGTCTCCAGCATGTCTTCCCTGACTCCTTCCAGGACCTCGCCATCATCTGTCCGACATACACAAGTATCTGGACTGAGGACATCTTCGATGGTCACCTTGGTGTTATAATACTGGCCACCCTTGCACAGTTTGTCCACAAACCGCACATGCAGGTCCCTGTGCAGCCAATGCTGACTCCTGGAGGCTGCTTTCTCATGCTTGGACGCGGGCTCCTCTTGTTGGTCTGGAAGGTGTTTCCTCTTCCTCTCTCCCGCTCCCCACCAGGTGGGGAGGTCCTGACCCTGGAGGGCCTCCCCCAATGAGGCTGTTCTGTTCTGTTGCCCTGGAGAAGTTTTGCTCACCTGGCTGAGATCCCAGTTCTTATCAAATTCCTGCTGGGAGACAGGCTGTAGGCTGTACTCACTAACAGTCACCAAGCGGCTCCCGATGGCCAAACGAACCATGGCCCGAACGTTTTCAGGATCGAGGCCTTCCACCTTCCCATAGAGGCCTCGGTAAGGGCCAGAAAGAACCACCACCGCCCCTCCAGGTACCAGTCCTTGAGGCTGGTCTTCCTTTTCCTTCTCTTGCTCCTCACCTGGCTTCGCTGGGCGGGAGGGGCGGGGGGAGGCCTGGGCCCAGATCTCAGTCAAATTGGCACCCAGCCCTAACCCTTTGGGCCTCAGCATGTTAACACGGGGCTTCACCACTTGACTGAAGGTGCGGCCGATGCCCTGGCCGGGTTTCCAGCCCATGCCCCGCAACATGGCCAGCCCGTAGGCCTCCACAGGGACTGCCTCGTAATCGGCCTCCTTGGGTGCTGTCTCAGTGTGGGCTTCACTGTCTGTCCCTTCCTCACTGGGGGCGCATCTCTTCTGGAGCACGGGGATAGCCAGCGTGGGGTCGACACCCGCATTCTCTTTCTCCTCCAAAGACTTCTTGGATTCTTCAATGATCTCCTTCACAGCCTGGGACAGCAGCCCACCCACGACGGTCTCAGTAGCTGTGGATGGGCCAGGCGCCTGGGTGGATGGCTGCCTTCGAGGGCTGCTCTGTATCAAAGGGATGATGAGATCCTTGGGGGCTTCTGAGGGATTAACCCTCTGCAACTTCCTCCCTTCCACGGTCATTAAGAAATCCTTCTCCTGCGGAGCCTCACCCAGGCTGTCTCCCGGGTCTCCCAGCTGTCTTTGGGCAGCCGTGCGCATGAAACTGAATGAAACTGGGGAAGTGGAGGGTCCCACCGGCTGCAAAACACCCTCTTTAGTTTCCGCCATCTTGCCCTTCTTCAAACTTTATTTCTAATCTGATGGGATATAAAGTAATCTAATTATGGGTCTAATTTGCATTCCCTGGGTTACAAGAGTCTTACATGTTTAATCATACCGATTTCAACACCTTTGATACATGTGACCATTTTCCCATGGCAAACTGGGCTTCAATTATGAACTACAAAGCAACTTCTGCAGTTAAAAAAAAAATGCTGGACATTTCCTCAACAGCAATGGGTTTCAAAATTGAAGGGACAGAGTTCTCTTCAGTATTGTTTTTACTCAACAATACTGGCTCTGGTGCATCCTACCTCTGTACCAGTTCACAGTTCCTTGTCTCCTGTCCCTTCTCACTGCAACTCCCTTTAAAACCCTCAGCAATTCTCATGGGAATTAGTGCCAAGGAGCTCCCTAGTGTGGCTGCTCCCTGTCCAATACTTTTCTACACGACAGAGTATCTAAGATACTCATTTACTCAATTCAGCTTCCAGGACAAAATCAAAATCGCTCACAGCAGCACCAGAGGCCCTGCAAGACATACCTCTCTATTCTCAAAGCTCATGAAATCCACCACCCACAGGAAATCCCTTGCCCCAGGCTCCAGGCCTCCACTTCCAAAATCGGAGCTCTTTCCATGCCTTCGCCATGCTGTTTTCCAGGCGAAACATCCTCCTCCTCCTTTATCTCAGTAGCTCCTGCTCACCCCTCAACTCCAGACAAGTATCCCCTTCTCTGCAAAGTTCTGTCACTTCCAGTAGGGTCAGTGCTGCCCCCTGTAACACTGGGAGTTCCCTGTGCACTGCCTCTCCCCTTTGAGAGACAATCCCAGCTCCAGAAGTTTACTAAGGCTCAATAAATGTTTGCTAACTAAGGCAGCCCAACCGTAAAGAAAGTTGGACTACTCCACTGACTACATACCACAAGGCAAGTCTCAAACCCTGGGCATTTACTTTCATCTATAACGCAAAGCACCTGACACAAAGTTCCTTCTTCCAGCCCCCAGATTCTACAATTCTTCCCATGGAATAACACATGCCGGTGTAATCTCAACTCTGATAGGGGCAGGGGACCAAATCCAGCTAACTTTCACTTCTGTGATTGATGTATATCACCCTCTAATTCCCACCGAGCTCAGGCCTCTGAGAACTAGGGCTTCCCTGACTTCTCGGAAGGAATGTTTCTACAAAACTTTGGGCATTTTTGTTGTTCTCCGTAACAGCCCTTCCCCTGAGGCTCCGACCCAGAACTGGCTAGCAAAGGATGCAATACTCCGCACTGAAAGTACCAACAGCCTGAACTGTTCCTGGTTTGTAAAGCTCGAAACCAAGCCTCAGACCCTGCCCGGCCTTCCCCGGTTGTCGGACCTCAGTAAATGCCCCCTCCCCTCGCGCCTGTTCCACCTTGCTCTCGGAGGTGGAGCCTAGGCCTCCAGCCAGAGCACGCGCTACCGAGAGCCCACCACCGTCATCATCACCAGATGGTGGGCTGAGGAGGTCACGGGTTTTCCCTAAGGATTCCTCTTTTCCCGAGATTTTCTTTCGCGGGGTGAGAAACGACTACCCAGAAAGGGCCCGTAGAACTGAAAATCCCGGTCGTGAATCCAAAAGTCTCCGCAGCAGACGCGCAGCCCTGGCCCCGGACGTTACCTGCGGCGGGTGACCACGGCGGCGGCGGCGACTGCGACGGCAAGACCGTGGGAACCCCTAGCGACGCGCAGCCTCAGACGTAGCACCTCCCGGAATCCGCCCTGCAGTGATTGCGGTACTGTGCCCTACGTCTACCCTTTAGAGAGCCGACTGCGCCACGCTGATTGGTGAAGCTTCGGGGAGGGGCGTCCGCGAAAGCCAATGGGAGGTGGGGAGGCGGCCAGTGAATTTATGCGACTACCAGTCCCAGGGTGCAACAGCCGGGGCTTAAGTGCCCAGCGGCCCGGGGAGCTAGGAGGGTCCCGTATAAACTAGCGTCAAAAGTTGGGGGGTTTAGGAGAACCAGAGATTTAGTAATTCCAGAAATGTCCGCTAAAGGATTAAAACCAGCTCGGAGAATACTTTAAACTATTGGTTTCTAAACTTTTTCACACACTGGGATAACTTAGGGAAACCAAAAATACACTGCTGTCCATGACCTAATCACCCAGACATTATTGTGAGTTCAGTGGTCTGTGTGGGACCTGCGTTTTGGCATCCTTAAAGATTCGCCAGTGTTTCAGGTGACGCACTTAATCCTCGTGACAGCCCTACGACAGCTAGGCACTGTTACTGTGGCAAGACTGTTATTGTCATCCTGGCTTTACAGATAGGGCAACAGGGAGTTATGTCAGCAAGGTTCATTTTTTTCTTGAAGGTCACATACCTCTGAAGTGGCAGGGCCAGAACTTTGACCCAGGCAGTCTAGTTTCAGAATCCGTGCTTTTAATCATTATGCAATGCTGTTTCTCAAATGTTTGGCCTTATTGATGGGGGGCGGGTTTCAAATGTTGGAAAAATTTTGGTTTCAGGTAATGGCTAATAAGCTTAGTAATCAGTGTATGTAAAAAGCTATTGTTTCAGGAACTGAAGATATAACCCACCTTGACTCCAGGGGACTGTAAGCAGTTCCACCTGTGTGCCTCAGGCGGTCTGAAGCAATCAAGATGGTATCTGAGCCATTGTATGCCAGGGTGAGATGCCGACTGCCCAGGGCACAGATAAAGACCAACGTCTGGGGGCACAGCTAAAGACCACTGCCCAAGGCGAGAATGCTGCAGGGTTGTTGTTTTTTTTAATCTAATTAACTTTTCCCTGAATTCCAAACCCCTTACCTATACTTGGTTCTCCTTATAAAAAGGGCCATTTTAAAATAGAGTTTAAAATGGTCTGTAAGAGCACAAACCCACAGCCTTCTCAGATTGCTGGCCATCTGAATAAAGTGCCCATAAAAATTCAATCCCTGTCTCTGCTTATTGGGTCTGGTAGGTGACAGGCAGCACAAACATTGGCTTTTCCGGTTTCATTAACTCACAGGGAACTGGAGAGAAAAATAAAACACATAAAATGCCATGTGGTAGAGAACAGTAAGTTGAATTGAAAGGAATTAATGTGAGGGAGTAAGTGCAATTCTGCTCAAGAACCTCAAGGGCAAGATCTAGGGCTACATTTATCAGTTGTCTCACCCGATATTTTTATAATTTTTTTATAGCTGTCAAGGAAAGAATGCCCAGCCTAAGAAAAAGTCTTATAAGAATTTATTTGAGCCAAACTGATGACAATTGCAGGGAAGCAAAATCTAAACAGATTGAGAAAATGGTCAGAAGAATGGCAATTTTGCAGTTCACTTTCTACATTAGAATCAAAGCAGGAGACGTTAGGAAAGTTACATAAAATTCTTCGGTGGTAGATTAGGGAGGCAGGACAAAGCAAACTGGGGAACTCTCTGAGGCTGGATAAAGGATAAAACAGAGACACATACTTGATTTATGTTGGTGGCTACAGGATAGTTAACATTTACAGCACATAGAGATGGTATTTGGGCAACAAGATAACAAAGAGGAGTTCTGTGGTCTCCTGCTCTGGTGGAAAGTTGTGCTCAGAAGGGTCTGGAAGAAGGCGATTATTCGACATTCCAAAGGTATGTTATATTTTTTCATTGTATTTTTCCATTACCATTTATCCCCCCATACCCTTTTCCACCTCCACCCACCCCCTACCCTCCCTCAGTCACCACACTGTTGTCCATGTCCATGAGTTCTTTTTCTTTTTTGCTCTATCCCTCCACTCCCCAACCCGCCCCCACCCAGAGCTGTCAGCCTGCTCTCTATCAATGAGTCTGTCTCCATTTTCTTGTTAGGTCAGTTTGTTCATTAGATTCCACATATGAGTGAAATCACATGGTATTTGTCTAGAACCCTCTGGCGGGCTTGTTTCACTTAGCATAATGTTCACCAGGGCCATCCATGCTTCCGTAAAGGGTAAAATTTTCATCTTTTTTATGGCCAAGTAGTATTCCATTGTGTAAATGTCTCATAGTTGTTTTATCCACTCATCTACTAATGGACATTGACGTTGCTTCCAAATCTTGGCAATTGTAAACGATGCGACAATGAGCGTAGAGGTGTATATATTCTTTCAAATTAGTGTTTTGGGTTTCTTCGGAAAAATTCCCAGCAGTGGGATCACTGGGTCAAAAGGTAGTTCCATTTTTAATTTTTTTAAGTGTAAAGGATTTTTTAAAAATTATCTTTAATATAGGCACAATTATTTAAAGTTAATACATTTTTATCTAAGGAATTTCACAAATTCTGAGTCCTTCCACTGCCTTGGTTCCTCCTGAGTTTGAGTCTTAATCCCTTGTTTGCTCAATCCCATTGCCGTGACAGTCAGTCCTATATAACAGGAATAGAGATGATCATGTGATCACACACTATTCAGGCACTAAAAATCTAGAAGGATTAGCTAGACAGAGGACATCTGGAAGACTCCAAATATCTAAGACAGCTATTATAAAATCTCACTGATTACCAATGGTTATTACCAAATCACATATAACTTGTATTATATTTATATTGGACAGTGCTGATCTAGGCAGTGAAAATAGGTAAGGGTTAATAAAATGTTTCCAATTGGCCGAATGCTAGCAACATAGAAAATGTTCCGTGGTCATGTCCATGGCAAATGCCATTTATAATTTTTTGAGGTACTGCTATACTGCTTTCCACAGTGGCTGCAGCAGTCTGCATTCCCACCCACAGTGCATGAAAGTTCCCCTTTCTCCACATCCTCACCAGCAGTTACTGTTTGTTGATTTATTGATGACAGCCATTCTGGCAGGTGTGAGGTGATATCACATTGTGGTTTTAATTTGCATTTCTCTGATGATTAGTGGCATTAGGCATCTTTTCATAAGTCTATTGGCCATCTGTATGTCCTCTTCAGAGAAGTGTCTGTTCAGGTCCTTTGCCCATTTTTTAGCTGGATCATTAGGTTTTTGGGGGGTTAAGTTTTATAAGCTCTTTATAAACTTTGGATATTAACCCCTCATCAGATGTATCAGCAAATACGTTCTGACATACTTTGAGAAAGGACAGCTGCCAATCCTGACAGATAAGACTAAAGATCAGATTACAGAAAAAGAAAAATAGTAGAAATGTTTCGAAGATTTGTATTACAGGTGCTTCATCAGTTTGTTAAGACGTGAGTCTGAAAAAGCCAGCAGCTTTGTTCTCGAAAGATCTCTGAATCATGTGTAAGTTACCTGGGCCAATGGGTGAAGACCCTGTCAGGAGACAGGCGGAAGGGGAAAATCCAGTCACACTATTTTCTCTAGCAACAAAGGAAATGTGACATGAAGGGAAAATGAAGCATAGCAAGTGGGTGATGTCAGTCAAAAGACAGCATGGCCCGGAATTTCCGTACGTGGTATATCGATACGTGGAAAAGGCAAAGTAGACGATGGCGAGTACACAGATAAAATAATGGAAGGCGACAAGCAACAACAATCGTAGACGATAACGTATTTCTGAGGGACCTGACAAACGAGGAGGAAGGCGTAGAGTGGACTATGTTTCCTTAGCCAATGTTTGGTACCGTCTCATTTCCAAATTATGTATAATCTTTACAGTTTCTAAGGACAAGAATGAGCATATTCTTTTATATTGAAAAAGGCATTATACAGCAACAGGAGTTGGGGAGAGTGTGAAAAAATAGGTTAGGTCTAGAGCAGGGTTTCTCGCCTCAGCACTGCTGACATTTGGGGCTGGATCATTCTTTGTTGCATGTGGAGGGGCTGTGGTCTCCACAGCACCAGGGCAAGGGGTCATTAGTCATTGTAGCTGGTCCTGACCCCATTGTGGCTGTTGCCCCACCTGGTTTTGCTGCTTTTCAGGGCCCGGAGCAAAAACACATACAGCTGAGGCCTAGATGTTATCTCTGAGGCATAACGCCTGAAGGGAGTGTTCAGGCAAGGGCTTGAATGGGGGTCATATAAACCTATTCTCCGACCCCCTGTTGCCCCCGGAAGTGTTCAGGGTGGAAAGGTCACCCTGGGATTGAGGCCTCAACCTGCTCTTGTCCATTGCTGGGCACCTGGGGCTTTCCACCCCGTGACCTTCTTTGTCTGGCCTACTGTTGGGCTCCGCTCATGCCTAACCGCCTCCGGCAACTTCACCTCTCTGTGCTTCATAATGTTGCCGTAAAGGTCAGATGAATTAATACATGTAATGAAAAAACTACGAACAGGCTCCAGTCAAGGGTCAGCTATTTCCTGAGTGAACGCTGAGTGTTGGGTGCTGGCCTAAGATCCAGGGTCCTTACAGACCATTCTCCCCACCAGAAGCAAACCGAGCTTGTTTTTAAGCAAGTAATTACTTCAACTGAAGTACAACATGTTAAAAAATGTCAACTGAGTAAATTTAAAGACCTAATTGGGTTTTTTAAGTGATTTATGAATCAAGAAACATCCCATCTAGCAACTAAGAGAGCTCTCTGAGGGGCTATACAAAATGGCAGGTGTTCATAGGAAGCAGAGTGGGACAAGGGAGCTATTAGTGAAAGAAAATAAAGGATTATTTTTTTCTGATTTTTAATTTATTTTTATTGGGGTGACATTGGTTAATAAAACTATATAGGTTTCAGGCATACATTTTTATATGACCTGTATATTGCACTGTGCCCATGACGCAAAGTCAAACCATCTTCTATAACCACATATTTGGTTCCCTTCACCGTTCACTAACCCTGCCTCCCCCTTCTCTCTGGTAACCACCCTACTGCTGCCAGTGTT